TTTATTTATTAACAGTTCTGTTTCTCAGCTGTTTTTTATTCACAGATTTTCAATTCTTCCTTTCCTTTGCTTTTGTTTGATTTTATTCGGGTTATTTGAGATCTCGTATTTTGTGTTTATCTTCGTGTTTAATATATTTTCTCATTCACCGTTTTCTGGCATTGACAATTTCATTGTCACTTTTTTATCTTTTCCAAAGTCATTTCTGTCTGTAGACGAAGTTCATCTCTTTTTTATCGACTGTTTACCTAAAATTTTTGTATATTTTACTGTTAATTTTTTCCACGAGACTTTTATACTTTATTTAAGTGTTTCAATGTTTCTTATGTTTGCCTCGCCTACATTTGCATGTTTTCTCATCGTATTGTATTTTCTGATTCTTTTTCTCTTTACAATTGCTTTTTCTTCTGATTTACATTTTGAAAGAGCCTTTTACATTTAATTTGATTGTGCAAAAATTACCTAGTCACACGAAGTCTGTTTTTAGTGTTCCTAGTTTTGATGTATAAACATTTACCGTTGTATGGTTTCGATGTTTATACATCGCTGTTTTAAAATGTTTACATCTTTTTAATTAACTAGCGTATTGAAATATGAAATACAGATTCCTCTCTTTATCGCACCAAATCGTGTGTATTACAGTATGCTCCAAAAATATGTATGCACATTATAATACGGAATATTAACCTTGTTATGGATCTCCATGTTTTATGTTTACGGACGACATAACTTATGGTCATTTTGAACAGCTGTACTACATTTTGCTAATGTCCCGATGTTGACGTATGTAATGGTTTATTTTATTAAAACGCCTTTATTTCACTCATTGAATGTGTGTGTACCTCTTTTTGGGACATTCCCCATGTGCTCATTTTGATTAGGCTGCACCAAACGTATTTATCTGAATAGAACTGAAACTGCATGAATGTGTCTGTTTAAATATGGTCCATTACGCAACACGTGTGTGCCTGATGGCGTTGGCAGCCATGTACTAGTTGAGGCTTGGGCTCGCCGTGAGCGCCTGGCTAACGACGCATTTTATGAGATCGGTTCTGCTGTGTTCCATTGTGTGGAGTAACATTTAACCACCAAATGAAGACATTATATTTTCCGGTTTTCCAAAGTGTTAGCCAGGTTAAGACGGCTAACACGAACACTCCGCTACTGATTAAAATATGATTGCAGGTGTGCTGTCAAGTGCCAGGTGATTTTGTTTTGAGAATCAATTCTGTTCTGAATAGACCAGAGGGCCTGATAGATGATACCCGAACAAGAATGGGATTGGCCGTGTTCCTTACATGCTACATCCCAGAGTTACCTATTCGCTGTGTATTTCCAGTTTTCGGTGCCCGTATTTCTTGAGAACAAAACGGTAGATCTACATAAAGCAAACTCATGTAAGGTTGGGTTAGGTTAGGTTAGGTTAGGTTCCAAGAAAAGTGTATTGTGGTCCTTTGCCGACGTTGGCTTAATGTAGATAAACAACCGAAGTTTCATAGCGATATTATTATTTTATGTACATAAGTTGTGAATATTTTGTTTATATACACATGACGTATATAAGTCATAACCACGGCGACGTCAAACAAGACGCGGAGGGTTTGATTCCCAGGATCCAATGTCACCGCGAGCAATACGTACGTCTGAAACCGCATCGGAAAACACGCGAAATAAGGCAGAAATGTAATTAAAATGTTCCATCTCGTCTCGATATTGTTTCTGTATTCCATTTTGAAGATCGTGGTTTACACAAGGGCCGTAGTTGAAGTTAGGGCGAAGTTTAAATATTTTTGGGTCAGAGTTTCTCATTGAAACGGCGTCTTTCAAAGGGCCGGGTGTCATGAGTTTGTGTTTTTCTTTATTGTTTCGTTTATTTATTTTTGACTCTTGTTATTTTCGTTCTCGCTGCAACACGTACCCCCGCTTTAAAAGTTTCTGATGACAGAATTGCGAAGACATTTCTCCGTCCTCAGGAACTAGACTTGAGGTAGTGAGTGAGTGGTTGGCTGCCTTCCGAATCGTCAGCTCTGGACTCTACGAAGTTATAAGAAACTAAGCTCCCATGTGGAGGCAGTCTTTCCGTGGATCAATAGAGATGAGGGCAGTGTTACTGGGATCTCAGATAACGCACGTGAATCCAGCATTGTCCACAGCTTCTGCAAGTTGATAACATCAAATATTAAATTCTTAATATACTAGAAAATAAATTGCTTTGTCGAATTTTTGTTGTCGTGCACAGGAGACGGAAATGTTGGCTCAGTTCAGCAAACAAAAACAAACAAAACAAAAATTATTTTCGCCAGAACCGCCAAGAACAGCTGTCAACAAACAGCCGATTGCAACTGCACAGTGGAAAAGTGACTCACTATCAGCGGCAGCTCTTAGCAGTCGAAATGGAACAAAGCGAGGAATCATCTACACGGTGATGCCACTGTCCTGAACGCGATGAATCCAATCCAAACCCAAAATCTCGAATTTCCTAAGTTTAATTTTAATATCATGCCATCTACCTTCAGGTCTTCCGAGTGGTCTCTCACTTTCAGGATTTTCAGCGAAAGTATTTTACGAATTTTTCATCTCCCCCGTGCGTGTTACATGCCGCGCCTATCTCATCCACGTTGATTGATCGCCGTAATAGTATTCGGTGTCTCGGATGTTCCTGGCCGACCGCGAGGCGTACGCTTGGTCGCACGGGACAACGATCCTCCCCCCGCTTCAGAGAGGCAAGTCTTAAAAGATGTCTCGAGTCTGCCTCTTATACCAGTTGATTGAGTTTCTTAAAACTTTGTAATGCACGTCACGCCTTTGAGCACTGAGATGAATTTAAACGATTTTGTCATGGCGTACGTGAAGATGTAATTTACCGTCTGCAGACTTTCGGGTGCCATCTCTCGTGATTGTTCTACACTGGAAGTATTCACTGTAGTCCGTCATAGGTTGTCATTCCCATACGTCGAAAATCGGGCGTATTAGGTTTTCATGTCCCAGAATCGGAAGCCAGAATAAAGCTGGCGAAGTTATGAATACATGTATTTTTCATCTTCATGGATATGGTTGGGGGATTTGATTGATTGTTTGTTTATTTAAAACAGTTTTTTTTTCAACGTCACAGTTTATTTAGCTTCGAATAAAAACTTGTGGGGGGGGGGCATGCAGTGTTGTGGAAGCAAGCGACTGTGGTCTGCTTGGAGTTGGCGTCTCTCTGTTTTCGACACGACGTCCAGATCGGCTCTGGGGCCCACCCAGAATCCAACGCAGTAGAATCTCCTCGGGCTAAGGTTGACGGAACGTGGTTATGATTACCTCTATCTGTTATCGATGTTAACAAATGTCTTAAGCTTTACGTGAATCTCCTCCTACGTTTTCATAACTTAGTGCTTAGTTATGAAGACGGAAGATGACTGTCTTCTAGGATGCTACGCCTTGCAGTCTGGTAGCCGCGTGCACGGCTTACGAATCTCCTTGATGTTTGAGGTGGCAAGCACCTCTGAAACGTCGGTAAACTACTGCACGGCGCAACGTCCAAGAAGACATCCATCTTATTCGGGTTTGTGTTTCATGAACATTCCGTTTTAAACAGGCCTTATTGTATTTATGGTTTTATATCCGGATCGCGCACCATGTTTTGCTAACCTGCGTTCTGGTCTTCGTAACGCATTGGTAGATTAATAAGTCACGTCTGTAAGAAGTCGCAGTGTAAAGCATTAATATCGATACTGAAGATCGATGGTTCTGTGTTCGAGAATTATTTATGAGGAAACTGTGTGGGTGGGTTGTAGGTGACTGTACAGCCAACCTTGTCGTAGCCTGACCTGTCCTTGTCTGGTTGAGGGAGATAACGTGATCCTCCGCCCTGTAGCCCTCGTTATTTTCCTCCCCTCGGGGCTGGATCGATATCACTTTCAGCGCCTCCTTATATTATCGGACCTAGCTTATGTTTGCATCGTTCATTCTGTTTCTGCGATATGAAAATGATTCGATAACTCGTCGTTGCTTACAAGATTGTTCTTGAACATTTTCAGTTATCTTCCGTTCATTCTGCGATGTCCCCCCCACGATTAAGCCATTGCTGAGGCATTTAATTGAGTAATTTTTTCGGCTATTTAAATTTTTTGTCCCTCTTTCTTCAACTACTCACGTTATTTACACGTTATAAGAGAGGGACTTAACTGATTAATTAATATTTTGGTTATTTAACGACCAAGAATTAACTGCACATTTTGTATTTTCGTCCGCTATCTAGAAGCTTAAAATTTAAAATTTATAAAATTATAATTTTTCTGTTTTCTGTCTGGGTGGGAAACTTGGTTTTTTTTTTTGTTGCCATAAGCTAAGAACATTCACTGGAAGTGTTTGAGAACAAGGTGCTGAAGGGGGAAGGATCAGGAAGGTGGACAGAATG